GCTGAACCAACTCTCCTTTCTCCAGTTCCCACCCAAGGCTGTTCCCCATACGCTTGTTGACACTTACAGTTCTATGACGTTCTCCTTTTGCATTTAAATAAGCTTTGATTGCAGCCAAACCTGCATACTCTCCTTGGGCTCCACTGCAAGAGGAACACAAACCTTGTTACACAAGCATGCAAACCAGAACGTGCCAGCTCTCTACTGAAACTTCAGAATTATCTGGCTCTAATCCTTCTCAATGGCTTTAGGCAAGTATCAGGAGATCAAAAGAAGCACATCCCACGGATTAAATTACAAATGGACAAGCATTAACTAAGCTCTTACCTATTTTGCAAACAGTAGGCGAAAAAAGTTATGCCATTTTATGTGCCTACACTACGATGTTAAACCCTTTTGGTGACTGAGTCAAGCCCCATTTCTGCACCTAGCAGGGGACTACGTGCTTGACTACAGAGAGGCAAACTAACACTGAAATGCACAGTAAAGTGTACACAGCGAAACGTAAGATCTCCTTCGGTGACATCCCAAGTGTAGAGAGAGTCCTTGCCCCTCATTTTCTATTAAAACTATTAATGGATATAAACAGGCTGCAGCAGTAGCCATTCAGTTCTGCTTTATCAGTTTCAGCGAGCACGCAGATCCCAGGCATTCTTCAGTCAAACCCAGTATTACCTAGCGCATCAAATATCAGTTCAAACAATTATGTAGTTGCCAGTTCATACAGCTTATTCTTATTTGAAATCTTTCATTTTAGCTCATAGGAGGATATCAGTAACATCACCATTTTAAGCAAGCAGTGGTGGAGAAACCAGACTTCATAGAGAGGAAAATACGGGACAAAAGATTAAAAGGATAGAAAAGACCACATCATTAAACTTTTAGAACAGACAAGACAAAATGGGTTTCTACAGTTCTAAAAAAGCAAATCTTGTTTTCATAACATTAGATGCAAGGCTTCTCGTTGTTAAATTTAACTTCAGAAACTGCTTCCATTTTTGGCTTGTATATTTTGTTTAGAGGTAAGTTTCTGGAATCATGTTAAGGAGCAAATGTTGAGAAGAAGTTTCCTACCTGTTTGGTTGGAAGGAGATTTTGTCATAGCCAGTAATCTCACATAGGTCTTTCTCTAAATCCTTGAAAAGCTGCTGATACCCTTGAGCTTGGTCCAGGGGCACAAAGGGGTGGATGTTGGCAAATTCTTTCCATGAAATAGGCTATCAAAAAATAAAAATAATTAAAAAGTGTGTGCTGTAACAAAAAATTCTGCAGACAACTCTGTTTTGTTGTTAAACTCCACGAAGGAAAGAAGTTGCCTTGTCCTCAAATAAAAATCAAACATTTCTTGTGCTGCAAGACAAGTTCCCAAGCGAATTGCAGGGGAAAGTTTCAAGTATTGCAACAGGCTGCTCAGGGAAGTGGTTGAGTCATCAGCCTTGGAGGTATTTAAAAGACGTGGGGATGTGGTGCTTAGGGACATGGTTTAGTGGTGGACTTGGCAGTGTTAACGGTTGGACTCAATAGCCTTAAAGGTCTTTTCCAACCTCAACGATTCTATGATTCTATGATTTCCAGTAACGTGTTTTTTTAACTTTCAGAAGATGCCTAAAAACCCTTAGTTTCTCCTCCTAGGTCACCCACCCTTATCTAGAGCAGTGGGATCACAGGACAGACAGAGACATGTGGAGCAGTACACAACAGTTTGTTTCACACAGTTTTGTTGCTATCTATCTGCTTTAATTAGAAAGGAATATATAAGACAGAAAACAGGGAAGGGAGAAGCCATAGAGAAGGCAGAGTGAGAGAAAGAGGACAAAGGAAACCTAGTGGAAGATCAAAGCAAGACGCCAATAGGGAGGAAGCAGAGGAAGCTCATGCAGAGTCAAAAAGTCATTCGGTACCCAAACAGCCTGGCTAAGCTTCGTCTGCTACCAGCTAGGAAAATGATGATATCTGGGGACCTCGGCTCCTCACCTGGGGAAAAGGAGTGCTATCCTAAGAGACAGCAAACTGACAAGCATCAACTGCCAGTCCGACCTGACTCTTTCCATATTTCTGAGGATTTGACTGTAAGACTTGTAAAGCAGATAGAAGTTAGGTACTGCAGCACTGCCTGAGGGAACAGGACTGTGATACCTAATTCCAAAAACTATTTTCATGACTGTTTTCAGAATGGAGTCTTTGAAGCCACTCACTCTCCTGCTGTTGTTGCACCCCCACTGTGCTTTTCGGAGCTTTCTTCCTAGTGGAAAGGGGAGCTGATGACTTTAGCTACTTCTGAAACTGCCTCCTTGGCTGGAGCACTAGATCAAAAGAAGTCACTACTTCTCTACAATGACACTGGCTAGATAGTTTACTCATGTGGGTCTCAAGTAAGACAGTATTATTGCAACTTACTGTAAGTTCAGCTGAACTATTGAGCTTCATTGTACAGGATCCCTAAAAATAGAAACACATTTGTCAGTTTTTATTGAAAAATATATATATGTACGTAGGTACCTAATTTTTTCTCTTTTTGGTAAATACCTACCAAAGGAATCATGCTGTGAACAAGGGAAATGTCTTTGTTTTCTAATCTTTTCATGTATCGCACGATATTTGTCTCAGAGTGATAGCTGGAGAACACAAAATGTGGTGTTAGGGCAAGCAGATTAGCTGTAGCAGCTGGTTGGTAGGAGAAACCATGAAAAAGGCATTAAGACTGAGGATGATTTTTAATATATACTAGGTAATTCTTTCCAAATACATACTTTATTCTTGCTAGTAGCAATGTGGATGAAAAATGCCTATTATCATTTTTTTCAGAAATGCTACCAGTAAATACAGAATGTAAGTACTCTAGTAAGTCTGCTGATACTACATCCTCAAATAATGGCTTGCACAATGTGACACATTAATGGAAAAACATATCCCCCATGTGACCACGAGTATTGCTTTGCTGATTTAAAACACGAAAGATAGCTAAAAATGCTACTACATAGATTATTTCAGAGTAAGGAGCACCTGTGTGAGTACAGCTACAAAACTGTCCTCCGCTGACTCTAGTACCATTTTTGAAAGGAGATACTTTCGTATTCCATTAAAACTATCAGACATATGACAATTTCACAAACCTGTTGAAAACCTGATGCGTCAAGAATTTGGAAGTTCTTTTAAATGGAGTGCAAAGGATGCCTTTGGTTTCCTCACCCATGCCCTCAGCAATTAGCTCCTTTGACACAAAGAAACACGGAGTCAAATCCTTTCACAGAAATTTCTCTTTTCACAGTCAATTTCCACCAGAACTAGCTTATACTACCAGCTTACCTCAAGATTTAATCAGCTTTTGAGGTAAAAAAAAACTCTTTATTTGCATACATACCTGTATGTACCTAGCATGACAGCAGCATTATATTAAAACTGGGTACAGATGTCTCACTAGTCCTTGTCTTGGAAGTATTGCTGCTAATTGCTAATGATATCCAACAAAAATTCACCTTCACAAAACAAGTAACAGCCTAAATGCAAGGTGTCCAAGCTGACCCAAAGGACTGTCACAACTGGAAAACAGCCTTTCTCAGTTACATTAAGAATTGTTATCTCATACTGCCTCTTTCTTTAAAAGAGGATGTGAAATTCTCAGTGTTTAACAAATGGTCATCATACAGAAACCCACTGTCCCCAGAGCAGATTTGCTTTTCGCTAAACTTCTGAAACATTCAGATAATTTAATCCGTATGATCAATTGCCTACTTACAGCTGAAGACTCGCAACCAAAAATCCATAATATGTCATCCAGATCTTTCTCATTTACAGTTTCATCAAGTGATACTCCAAGCTATGGATAAAACCAACAGTAATTACTTGTAGCGCTTAATTCCAGAGGCATAACATATTTGTTCTGGTTGAGAAGAAATCTTCCAGAAACACAGCAGGTAAAAAAAGAAAAAAAATCAAGCTACTCAACAATATGTAAATGTTACTTATTTTACATAATAGATACATAAATTTTATTTTACTTACACAAAATTTTCCCATTCCTGCCTTTCCCCTGCTAAACCATCCAAGCCAGATGGCTCACAAGCTTCAAGACTTGTTATCTCACTTCTAATGTTTCTAAATGTTTTCCACTTAATAGGAAAATTGGCCATTTTGCTAGTGCGCCCCCTTCCCCCCCATCTTGTTTTACAAAACATATTAGACTTTGCCAAAAGTCCTTACTGCCTACCAAAATGTGGTTTAAATTTCAATCTGTCTCTAAAAACTGCCACAGGGCCTGAATTCTGGATGTCATCTTGCATTTCATCATTAAGTTTTAGAGTCTCTCCACTCTAGCCCTTTGCAGTGTATTTAATACGAAACAATTACATAATCTCTTTGAATAGGCAGAAAACAAAAATACAATTATTATTTCTGGAAGTTCAGGACATAACTTCATTCTTTATATTATCATTAAAATTGAATATATAGCTGAGTAAATTACAGGAAGTCTTAAATAAATTTTGTTCTGTTTAGCACTTGTAATGACTAGAAACCTAACGCAGAAAAAAATCACACTACAAAATTTCTGAAAGGTTTAGGGAGTTGCTTACTCTGTTATCACTATAAATCCGAAAATTTATCTTTCTAAGAGCTGCTCTGTCCAAAACCTCTTTGACTGAGCATCCACACGTGATCATCAGGGTATCAAAGAACAGATCATGATGCAGTTTATGACCAGCTCTCCTGAGACCTATAAAAAACAGTAAGTTAATTCTATTAGCTGCATACTGAATTGCTTGCTCACACAGTACTTGCATAACAACACCATGAATCTCATAAGTAAATGCTTTTACACAGTAAAGCAAAATATTGACTTTGTGTACGGAGCAGTAAAATCACTGGCGTTTTAGTGAAATGTCACTGTGCATGAAATGCATCTAAACCAGATTCAGACCTAATTAGTAATGCAGATTGAGTCTCGGGAAGATCCTTCTGATGCATCAAATTTCTAACACACACAGTGTCAGAACTGGTATATGAATGCAATATGGACAAAATCAGAAGACTGGAAATAAAAATTCTACTGTATTAACGGATATTAACTGCCGTGGGGTTAGAGTCTTAGTGCTCTTCTCAGCAGCAAAAGGTCATCCGGCTAAGCTGGCAAATAAAGCATGGATAAGTGTGGCAATCATTCCTCAATTCCCAGCATTCCAGTTCTGCATAGCTCCTCCTGACAGCAGTGATAGTCATGCCAGTGAAAAAAACCTACCAGATCACATAGTCCAGCTGAAATCACTATTTTCTGCTACAGATTCTGTGCTTTTGGTCAGCTGTTAAGCTTTGGGATTTCAGTATTTATGGCAGGTATGACACTCCACTCAACGGAAATGTTCTTATTTCTTTAACCTCATTTACTCCTTATTTTTGCTATGTGATTAATTCTCTGTGCAGATTTCTGTGGGTAAACTAGGATGCCTGCAGCTGGAAAACAGCATTTGAATATTACAATCTAGAGACTAATAGATTTTTGTTCGTTTCCCAAGGAAACAGAAGCAATGCTCACACCACACAGATGTCTAATTCTTGGATATCACTATCAGAAGCACACAAAAGCATTAGCTATGAACATCGTATTAAAACGTTCTCTCTAGAGTTGAGAGAATACCCATCAGCTGGCAAAAAAAAACCTCGTTAAGTATTATTTAAGAAAGTGTAAGGATTTAAGGGCAGTTTCTGCAAGCATTCAATACTCACCTTCAGCCAAGATTAGTGTAGCATTGTGCACCCGACGTGCAATATGCCTTAATCCTTCAGAACCATGGTAAACAGCAAACATAGCTGCCATGTTAGCCAGAAGAGCCTAGGATCCAAACACAGTTTAGAACAGCATCGTTATTGTTGCTGTTATTATTATTATTATTATTATTGTTATTATTATCATCGTCACTGCCATCGTCATTATCGACACTGCAAAGATTAGTTCATGTTAGTTCAGTAGAAAGCTTCTTCAGCAGCCAGGGACAACCACGGACAACCACATAACCTCAGCTGATGTTCTACGTGATTACACATTGCCTACAAAACAAAAGGTGGGAAAGGCAAAACACCTTCATGAAATTGTAAGCACTGATTATGAATTCAATGCCCTTTGAAATGTAACTGTGTCAGCAATTAACATGAATTCAAATTCAATTACTGCAACACAGATGTTTGAAGACTCAAGTAAAGCTAGTCTCATAGGAAACTCCTTACTCAGGATTGGTGCAAAACATTTATGGACTATCTCATGAATATTGAGTAATTAAGCTTGTTTTAATGTTAATAGTCCCTCCTCAAAATCTGGCACAACATTAAGACCGTAAGCAAAGCATTGATAAGAGGAGAAAAAATTATGAACTTGTCTGGTTCAAGGTCTGTGCAGGTACACTGACATTTTGGATCATTACTTACTTAATCATAATATTTTCCTGTAAAGACAGCTCTTCAGCGACGCAATATTTTTGCATCGAATCACACAGATAAAATACAAGTTGTGACAATTTGAACACGTAGTTTGAGAATTTAAAAAAAGGATTTTTTTTGCCTTGAGTGGGTAATTTCAGATCATTAGAATTCCCTTCTGGTTTATAAAGAGATCTGTCTCACTCGTAACAAACACAGCAGTACTCAGTGGCGTTCACCCTATGAGACAGATGGGCTCGTGACACTGCACGAATTCAGGGTTAAGTCTTTATTAAAGAAAACAGATATTAATAGCTAACTTCTTTTCAAGTAGGGTTCCATTTTTTCAAAGCACTCAGAACAAATGCACAAACACCAGAATATTTCAATGATGTTCTTCATTTTTCAGTAAAAACTGTCAAAGCCAAAGCTAACTAAAATTACAGTGATGTTAGGGCTACAGTCTTGTGGTTTAATTTGTTCTTTCTACTGCTGAAAATAAAGCATGACAAGTTACCTGTGCTGTGCAGATATTGCTGGTGGCTTTATCCCTCCTGATATGCTGCTCTCGTGTTTGCAGAGCAAGTCGGTACACTTCCTTGCCGTTTGCATCTCTACATCACAAGTGAAAAAGTTGATTCTGTTACTTCACAGTTACAGCAATTTAAGACATTGGGCACTGTGCATGCCAACCTGAAACTAGTTGTCTATCCTCAGAGACAGAAAGGTGCTGGAGAGAATAAAGCACAAATCAGGGTAGCTGTGGCATCAAACAGAGTGAGGCTAAAGTCTCTAGATTTCTGTTTACATCGCAGCTGGCAATGTGTTGTAGAGCACACAGTGAGTTTTCTAAGCACACTACACCAAAACACGGTATTTGCCTTAAAATGCCACAAATTGTATCACCTGTTTTGACTTAGTAATCTAGAACTTAATTTGAACAAACACTGAGAAGGCAGAATCTTTTCTAATGATGTCAAGTCAGAGCGTGTTGGGTTTGTACATAAAAACAACCCGTCCAAGAAAGCTGTATGAGATCACCAAAAGGGCTCTGGCCACTCTATCCTTCAAGAGATCCTTCTGAAGGGTTCCTAACATGTTAAAAGTGGAGAGGTAAGAGCCAATATCTAGTATCCTTTAGAACTAGGAAGACTTTCAGAACAGCCACAAAAACAAATGGACAAACTACATACACATATCTATATAAATATATATATGGACATATGTGGGGGTGTGAATCGCTGGACTACTTGCCTCAGGTACTTGCGCATCAGTTATTTGACATTTAAATAATTTTTACTCCAGCAGTTGTTGGGGGATTTTGACAGTACAGCTTATTCTATCACCAGTCCTTCCAGAGGGACCTTGACAGGCTGGAGAAAAGGGCTGACACGGACCTTATGAAGTTCAACAAGGGGAAGCGCAAAGGGCTGCACCTAGCGAAGAACCTTCGTACCAGTACATGCTGGGGGCCATCCAGATGGAAAGCAGCTCTGCAGAAAAGACCCTAAGGGTCCTGAGGGACACCAAGTTGAACATGAGCCAGCGATGTGTCCCTGCAGCAAAGAAGGCAAACGGTATCCTGGGCTGTATTAGGCAAAGCTTTGCCAACAAGTCAAGGGAGGTGATCCTTGCCCTCTTTTTAGCACTGGTGAGGCCACACTTGGCAGTACTGTGTTCAGTTCTGGGCTCCTCAGAACAAGAGAGATACAGAAGTACTGGAGAGAGTCCAGCAAAGGGCCACAAAGATGTTGAAGGGACTGGGCCATCTCTCCTGTGAGGAAATGCTGAGAGAGCTGGGACAGTTCAGGCTGGAGAAGAGAAGGCTCAGGGAGGACCTCATCAATGCATATTAGTACCTGAAGGGAGGGTACAAAGAGGACAGAGCCAGGTTTTTATCAGCAGTGCCCAGTGACAGGACCAGAGGCTACAGGTGCAGACTGAAACACAGAAGGTTCCTCCTGAACACGAGGAAACACTTTTTCACAGTGAGAGTGACCGAGCACTAGCACAGGTTGCACAGAAAAACTGTGGAGTCTCTTGGCTTGGAGATGTTCAAGACATCTGGACACAGTCCTAGGCTACTGGCTCTAGGTGACCCTGCTTGAGCAGGGAGGTTAGACCAGATGACCTCCAGAGATCCATTCCAACCTCAATCAGTGATTCTGAGATCAAAAACTTGAAAAAACCCAGGGCAGAAAACTGCATTGAGAAAGTACTGCAGCGTTTTCCATTTTAACATTTTCTTTTCCAGCTTTCTTGAGATGCAAAGTAAGATGATGCAAAGATGAAAGATGCAAAGTAAGAAGATGCAAAGATGAAAGTAAGTCTAAAGACATTAAACTCGGTGTAGTCACAGAACAGCAGTAGCAGGACCTTTATAAATAGAACTACTGTTCTTTGGTAAAAGATCGTACCAGACTTCTGATCAAAATCTGAATTGGGGATCAGATTTCAGAACTACGAGTAAAGCCTGAGGATACACTTAGAACAAGCAAGATGAATAAAAATATATTAGAAGGACTATTACTGCACAAATGAAATATTTCTAAGTTTACTGATAACTGTTAATGTCATTAGTTATTTTGTTTATTGAAGTACTTCTGAATAGCTTCTGTGCCAAAGATATGCAGTCTTTCCAGTGGCAATTATTTTGCATTTTTACTATTCCTAGTTAGACATCTTTTCAAAATTCAAAATATGTCACCAACAACCAGAACTAGAGGTAAGTTTTTGCACACTATTTGTCTGCTTTGTTTAAGCGTGACTAAAATTTGAAGGAGGTTAAGCTCTTTCTTGATTATTCGAGAGGTTCAGTGAATTTTCTGCGTCTTCCCATTTATGTTTTTAATGACTGGATGTCAGAGAAAAAGGTATAACAGTATAGAATAAGCAGAATAAGCTAGTTTGCAAAGTCTCATGCCACCACAATTAATCCTCTCTGCTGTTTCAGTTATCTCTTCACCCCACACTGCAGCACTATAGACAGTTCACAGCTTCATTCCATGCAAACACAATTCTTCAAGCTTGCTTCCTAAAAATCGATGGCAACTTTCATTCTCTCAGTTTTCAAGTAAAAAGGTGTTCGGTACAACACCGTGATCAGCTGTTATTCATAAAGGCTGCCCAAGATGTCATAATGTGTTTTATTTCGATCTTCCCTGAAGACACTAACTGCGAAGGGAGCCCTTACCTCGTGACGCCCACCATTCTGCCCGGCATCATTCTCACTAGATTTTCCTTGACAGCAAAGAACGCCGCGTGGGGTCCCCCGTAGCAGAGTGGCACGCCGAACCTCTGGGAGTTACCCAGGACAACATCCACCCCAAACTCTCCAGGAGGCTTCAGAAGACACAGAGCCAGAAGATCAGTCGCGCAGCAGGTGAGAGTCTGAGAACAGAAGTGCACGGAGCAATCAGCCCCTTTCCTGAACGAAGAGTCTTTGCACAGCAGCTAGGCTGGAACAAGATACTGCTTCAAACCGTGCTTCAAACTTGCACAGAGCTGCGGTGCAACGATTGTAATCATAGAATCATAGAATCGTTAGGGCTGGAAGGGACCTTCAAAGGTCATCTAGTCCAACCCCCCTGCAAGGAACAGGGATATCTCCAACTAGATCAGGTTGCTCAGGGCCTCGTCCAACCTGGCCTTGAATGTCTCCAGGGATGGAGCATCCACCACCTCTCTGGGCAACCTGTTCTAGTGTTCTACAACTCTCAATGGTTATCAATTGCACGGAGCTGAAGAGCAATACTTTAGATGGTGTCTTACGTAACAGTTTCTATGACTATGGCCGTTCGATGCATCAGATTGACATCTGTGAGGCCAAGAAAATTTACTTTACCCCGCTCTGATGAGCTCTTTCAACAAGTTCAGAGAAGTCTTCCACCTTCCCTTCAGTGTCCGGATACTGAAACAATGCTCCACTGACATCCTTTCCACTGAAATCCATCTCATGGGGTAATCTGAGCTCAGTAATAACACCTGTATAACTGGAAAACAAAAACACGCAGAAGACTACATATTCAAACCACTTCCTGCCTTGCAGCAATAGGATGTTTTCATGAATTTATATATGACTTTTTCCTTTAGCCTGCATAGAGCTGACCTGCTTTGCAGCACTAAACATTGGGAAAGTTTCATGTCATGGTATACAGTACTGAAGAATAATTGCACTTTATATCATCATCAGAAATATGGAGCAAAGCAGAGCAGAGGAAGCATAAGCTACTTGATATCACCATTTTGCTGCTTTAGCGTGTTTAACTTTGAGAACCAAGTCAAATTTTTCGAAGATGGTTACTTTAAACTGTAAACTTAAAATGGATTTACTTTCATTAAAAGAGAAGTTTTGCTATCTCGGGTAATTCATTTCCTAGTTAAAAAAAAATGACCAGACTGAATTCAATAACCAAGTGTATATATTTGCACAAACAACTTAGGGGCAAAATTAAATATTTTCTTTTGATCAGATGTTTAGTCTCTTTTTAAACATCTTTAATTACTTTGCAGTTGCATTTGAATGAAAAAGCAGAAGCAATGCCAAATGTTAACAGATTTCTGTTTCTGTTTCACAAAGAAAGCATAATCCTATATTCTAGAAACGTCAGGTATACAAAGAGACACAGACGAAAAAGGATTCAATGTAAGTGAAAAGATATGGTGGAAAATGGAGAAAAACTTTACTTTGCTCTAGTTTGGACCACTGCTATAGTTTGAGGGTGGCATCGGGCATCTACATAAAACTTCCTTCTTTTGTTGTGCCTGTTAAAAAGAAAAGGGAAGAAAGAAGAGTCATATATCAAGAATATATTGTTTTCATTGAAGACAAAATTAATTGTTTTTCTAAATGTGAGCCTTCGTAAATTAAAAGGCAGTTGTAAATTTTGGTTATCATAACCAAACGAAGTGTAAGATTGAATGATGGTTCTGGTCCATTTAAAATAAGAAAGTTCATTTCAGAGATTCAAATGAGATTCCTACGTGACAAAATTCCAAACAGACTATGAAACAGAACACGGAGCCGGCTTACGAAACTGCAGGAACGCCTCCACACATACATACTCTTCCAAAGAAACACAGCTGTGGTCTTTAGTAGAGTTTTTCAGTGTTGCCCAGGAGAACCAAACATGAGCCATCAAAGTAGTAACATGGAGACTAAGACAATAAGACAATTGCCTAGTTTTCTCTGGTAAAAATTGACGGTCTGAACAACGGAACAGGTACAACACAGTCTCTGCTGGGTAATCTCCTTCCTGCCATGCAGCCTACAGCGACCTTCAATCACCTCTCAGATTTCACTTGATTCGCAGATCCCTTCCAAACGCCCCTACAGTACAGATCTCTGAAAGCAAATCTGGGTGTACCAGCCACTTTCACTTTCGGGAACTTAGGACTGACGTAGTTCACCAGTTTTTAAAGCTCTTTTTAACCACAAGCGCAAAAAAAACCCACCCCACAATCCACATCTTTGGTGCTCATGGACAGAAGAGATTCGTGCCACAGACTGTCAGGTTATGCAATAAAAGGTCCCCTGCACCCCCCAGCGAGGCGATGGCAGCTGGGGGAGCCCCAATAACTGCCCACCCTGTCCCTGTGGCTCCCAGACCCATCACGGGAGACATCAACCCATCGGAGACCCATCTCCACAGGAACAGAGGAGCACAGAGGCCCCACAGCAAGTGGGAACTCTAATTAATTAATTAACCCAGACACACTGCCGGCCCCCCCCCCCCGCCCCGAGAGGGGAGACATTATGGGATGCAGGGGAAGAGCATATTTGGGATTATTATGAGGTGTTTAGGGGCAAGAAGGGCACAGCTAAGTGATTCTGGGGGGAACAAGTGTAAGAAAGTGAGAGGGCAAGGGGGTAAACAGGGCTAGTCACACACAAAGAGTTGCTGGTTGAGGCACTTCCACCCAACTAGTGCAGCCTGTCCTCTCTTCTTGCTAAATCCCTTTCTGATTCCTTTCACGAGTGAGAGGACTCCGTACTCCGGGAGGCAGGGTGGGTGCATATGGCTGTCTGGGGGCCAGCAACTGGAGCCACATGTCCCTGGCGCCGCATTTGGGGGGGCGCGGCTCGCTCCCCCGCCGCGGGAGCGGCACCTCAGCCCTCGGTGGTCTGTGGCAGCAGCCGCTGGAGCAGGTGTGTGTCCGGGTGCCAGCAGCTGGGCTGGTACCACAGGATGTCCATGTCTCTCTTGTACTGGAGAGCCCAGCAATGGACACAGCACTCCAGGTGTGGCCTCCCAGTGCTGAGGAGAAGGCAAGGATCACCACACTCCTCCGAACGCACCCCAGGATACCATTCACCGCCTTTGCCACCAGAGCACATTGCTGGCTTGTGTTCAACTCGGCATCCCCCGGGACCCCCAAAGGCCCTTTCTGCAAAGCTGCTTTCCAGCCTGTCGGCCCCGCCATGTACCCCTGGGGCTGTTCTTCCCCGGGTGCAGGATTCCCTCTGGTCGAGCTTCACAAGGTTCCTGTCAGCCAATTTCTCCAGCCTGACAAGGTCCCTCTGGTTGTCAGCACAACCCTCTGGTGTATCAGCTCCTCCTCTCGGTTTGCGTTACCAACAAGTTCGCTTGTTGACCATCCGGAGCACTAACTGGACCCGAGGTTGCCCCTGGGGTACATCATTAACAACCGGCCTCCAACTGGACTTGGTGTCCAGTTTTCAGTCAACCTCGCTCTCACCTCATCCAGCTCATACTCCTACAGCTTCTCTGTTGGGATTTAAGGGAGACCATCAAGGTAAACAACACCCACCACTCTCGCCTCATCTACCAAGCCAGTCATTTAAGTGTGGGAAGTTACCAGTTGGCCAAGCGTGCCTTCCCCTGTGTGAATCCATGCTGGTGACTCCTGATCACCTTCTTGTCCTTCACACTCCTGGAAATAGTTTCCGGGACTAGCAGTTGTTCCATCATCTTTGACGGACTGAGGTGAAGCTGCCTGGCCACTAGCTCCCTGCACCGTCATTCCTGCCCTTCCTGAAGACAGGAGTGACATTCGCTCTCCTCCAGCGCTGAGGCACCTCTGCCGGTCGCCACAATTGTCCAGATAACCAGGAGTGGCCTCGCAATGACAGCGGGCAGCTCCCTCAGCACTCACGGGTGCATCAGATCAGGGCCCACAGACTCATAGAATCACAGAATGGTTAGGGTTGGAAGGGACCTCAAAGATCATCTCTTTCCAACCCTCCTGCCATGGGCAGGGACACCCTCCACTACACCAAGTTGCCCAAAGCCTCATCCAACCGGGCCTTGAACACTTCCAGGGATGGGGCAGCCACAGCTTCTCTGGGCAACCTGTGCCACTGCCTCACCACCCTCCGAGTAAGACACACTCATGTAAGTTCTGTTTGTTCAGGTGTTCTCCAACCTGACCCTCCTCCACCAGGGGTAAGTCCTCCTTGCTCTAGCCTGGTCCCTGATCTCTAGGTCCTTCGGTTTCCTCAGGCCTTACACATCTGAGTTGAACATTTGCATCAACACTGGGAACTTCTCTGGGGGCTTCATAACATGGGCTACAGCTCTCTAGTGATTCGCTCGCAGCGAAAAGACCACACTCAACTTCGTCCCGCTCACCTATCCATGCCTACACAGGAGAGACGCTTTTCAAACTCCAAAATCCCTTCCTGCTGTGATTTAACCACGCATTTACACACAGTACCTGTGGCACAATTGCATGGCTTCTGCTGCAGCTGTCCCCTCGTCCAGCAAAGACGCGTTAGCCACGTCCATTCCCGTGATATCGCACACCATAGTCTGGTAATTCAGCAGGCTCTCCAGCCTGCCCTGGGAGACCTCAGGTTGGTAAGGAGTGTACTGGGTAACCCTGCAGGAAGAGAATTCTGAGGTTAGGTCTAGGAAAATAAATGTGCAACAGAATTATGCCCACGCGTAACTGAACTATGTCACAGGAAAAATACATTGTAAAGCGTTAATTCATTAACATGAAAGTTTGTTAGAAAACACTTGTTTTTAGATGACTGTAATTTATTACTGTCCTGGGAGCCTGAAAATATTTTCTCTTTTGGTATTGACCTGGCTTTTTACAGCAGAAGAATTCTATTTCTCCATTTTGAAAAGAGAAATTACTTTTAAAGCAGAGGTGTGAGTGCACCTTGGGGACGGGAGAGAGGAAGTAGGCACTGCGCGAGGAAGAATTGAGTCAAGTCACAATATCCAAATGAGAATGCTTAGTCCAATCATATTTAGGTATTGCCATAGCCTTTCAATACTCTTTCTAAAGCCCTTTACTTGCCAAGTCCTCTCCACTCTTACAGGAGGAAAGGCACACAGCATTTCACAAGATCAAGCTCAGAAATACGCAACTTCCTGTGAAATGACTGTTTCCATTTACGTTAGTGAAGGGAAGTGAGACTGATACGAGTTTTATCTGTTGTCATTTGGAGAACAAAACAGCAGAGGCAACATAAGCAATTCCCTAGAAAAGGCAACAATCTAAGGGAAACACTCTGTTGTAACAGCCCAGGAAAAAGAAAGCAGCATGGGTCCAGGGATGAAAGGCAAGAACACAGATCAGACTCTCCTCTCGCTGCTGGAAATTTCGGTACTGGACTCCACGGCGGTTCAGGACAGACTTTATGCCAGTTTGAATTCAGAATAGTGGCCAGAAACAAGTGATAAGTGAGAACACTCGTGGCCTCTGTTTTCTAGCGATGATGGAAAACAAGAGTTTGTTTCCTGAAAGGGCAGTACTAAGTCCTAGACTTTTGACAAGGCTTATGGCTGAAGGTATAACCTTTAAAGAGAAGTATTTGGAAGCTCAAATCATGTAAAGTCAACAGAAGATGAGCAACAAAGATTCTGAAAGAACAAGCTGCAGAACCTGTGGTATAGAGCAAGATCAGAGGAGCAACAAAACAGCGATGCAAGAGACATGGTAGGAAAAAAGATCTAAAGAAGAGAATGGAAGAACTAGAAAGGACATAATCCATAAGTGAACTCAAAGTGTAACATATGACGCTAACGTATTTACTGTCTATTTAAATGACACATCTGCTCAAATTTCTCAGATAAACTATTCAGTACAGTGACAGAAAGCAATAGATATATATCAAATTAGATAAATACTGATGATTTTCTCAAATACTGACGTTTTTTCCCGCTTCTTAGCCAAGTCTAGCACTAAACTGCTTATCATCATATACTTGACTGCATAGTTCACAAGTGAGACCATGTCCTGGGCTGCATGCAACATTGCTTGTGTCAGTAGTAATAATTTTTTTTTTCCTCCATGGCTGCTAAAACCAGTTTTCAGTTTGTCGGACAAACTTTCAAACTGGGAGTATAAAGTTTTGTTTTCCAAATGGTCCCCCTGCCCACTCAGTTCTCACCAATCAAAAGAGCTATTCCCAACTCCGTTGCATGAACAATGAGTTACAAAAGAAACTCCTCAATACTCGAAGTTAACAATCTTACTTTCTCATTTTACTTCAGCTACAGGCCTTTTCTTGCATTATAGCTTCCAGGAGGAACTAGAAGTAGACTTATAAGAATTAAAACATTGAGAATAATTGAAATGCATTAGAGACATATTACTTAGTGCGAGAGAAGAAAAACAAAATCAAGTATCATTGGTTAGTACTTGCCAGAATAATCATTTAACAGAGGTGAGATTTTAACTCAAGTTGAGTGTACTGGCTTTATTCTTTCTCTCAACATTGTTTCATTAAACCATTACTAATTAGGGGCTGCTGCAAAATGAGAAAGGTATGAATAAAAAAGAAAAATCAATAGTAGAGAAGCAAACCTTCACATCAAACTTGGCTGCAAATTTTGCTACAGGACATTAAAGTTGCAGCTGTTCATGGGGTGCAAAATTCTTTATTTGGTTTTCAAATACAAGGCATCTTTCTTAAGATATGAGTAACGTTCACAACTCCTTACTTGATGAGAATCCCCTTTCCTAAGATTTCATCTCATATAATGAGAGATAGACTTTGCGATGAATGCTTCAAAGCACACCACTCGAAAGAGCTACTCAGAAACCTACTACAAAAGCCTCAGGAATTTCAACTCGTATTTTCTGCTCAAATGATTTTTTAAATGAAGTTTTCATATGGGTAAAATAAATAAATAAATCTATTCTTAAACTGCTACTAAGTAGCTGCTAATCTGATGGTTTCCTTGAATAACCTCAATCCTACCCTACATAGATGAGACAGTACACTATACTATAAAGCAGAATTAATTAAGCTTTGTGGTTTTGATGTAATGCTTTTGAATGGTAAAAACAGTTGAAGCAAAACCAATCGATTTCAGAAAGGATGGAAAAAATTTAACCAAGAAATACTGAATTCCATTATTACTGCAAATTACAGTGCATGAAGTTTAACAGTTGTACAGGTAAAGACACCTTTTATAACATAAAAACATTTATTTAAACTGTTGGGTTTGGGGGTTTGTTTTGAAGGTTGTTTGGCACTGTCTAAGCATCTGAATCTTTTAATATAATAATTCTACTTCTCCACAATTTCTTCAAATAAAACAGCTGGCTTTAGCCTGCAGTCTGACTTCTGCCTGAATCTATACCACACATTAAGTGACTTTCCAAAGTCATTTAAAGGCAAACTCTTTGAAAGTAAAAGTAATTTCTAAAGTAAACTTTCATATAAATCGAAACTCTAAAAGGCAGACTAAACCATCTCTCATTCAAAACCCCCTTCTCTTCTGCTTAGGTTTGTTCCAGTGGCTATTCTGCACACATAATTCAAGTCCAGTACCAACGACATTAAACTGAAAAGCAAGAATTATCATTGTGGCAAGGAACACCACTACAAACTGCCTCTTGTTCAATCAAACTGGAGGAAAATGTCATCTCAAATTGACATCTGCTCTGACCAAAAGTACTTCTGCAGACAAACGCTCCCAAGCTAATTAAGGCAGACAGGACATGGCACAAGAGAAACCTTCTTTGAGAAGTTTGTGGCGTCTTTCCTGAGCCAGTGTCTGACCTTCAGGAGTTCAGTAGTAAGTGGCTTCAGTTTCTGTAGCTTTCATAATTCTTTGCTTTAGTTTAGTGTTTCACTCTTTGCCGCATCCTACTCTCAAAAACACTTGTACCAATACTAACTTTAAGATATCAATGAAGGTTTTAACAGAAAACTTGGCATCAAAGCCACAGGGACCTAGGAAGCATGCTGCCAGCCAAAAGCTAGGCCACTCGTCAAAAGACCTGGCTTATGAAAGAGCAGAAGCTTTAGTTCTTGGGAGCTGTGCTTGTTCTAAGTTAAGCTACAAACCAAAAAGTCTACATATTAACTGCAAGATTAACAATTATGGTGTGTTTGTATCAAAGCTAGCTCTTGCTTCCACGCAAAGACTCAAAAAACTCCATTACCAAGCAATACTCAATGAACTAGTTCTTGATTGGTGTTTGTAGGTGTATAGTCAATAAGATCTAATTTATTTCTTAATATAATTCTTAAGTGCCAGCAAACAGTTCACCATGTATCTTCCTCAGTGATTTTTTCTATACTTTGATCGAATCTCGGAAAAGTTAATATATTCCTAATCAACACAGTACTTTTATCTTGTTATAAATTATGTTCTTGCAGTTCAAGACACCTACAAGACAAATCTCACACAAAAGCAGAGCTAGCATTGATTATTGATCTGGATTTTCAGTTACACAGAGTGTTATTTTTGAGATCTGACAATTAATAAAATGAAACGAACTTAAAGTATTAAGACAGACCATTAATACCATTAATAGAATTTAAAATCAGCACACACGAACCACAGAAAAAAGATAATTCACACGTCTGACAACACTGGAAAACGGAGACCGAAGTTCAGTCATGAATACATGAAATTATTAAATTATCTGACTTTTATGTACTGGACATCACTATTATGGTCAAAACTGAAAGAAAAAAAAGCTGTATTTAATTAAAAAAAAAAAAGCCGTATTTAATTTAAAAAATGCTCATATATAAATACTGCAGTATAGAAAGACACTAAAGTGAAGCTGTAACAACTAGAGGCCATCCAACTGCAAGCAGTTCCATCCAGCCTGTAAAACTCCCGAATGCCATACTGCATATAGAGTTCCAGATGCATTACTCGGCCCTTTATGTATCTTTGAAGAGCAGTTATAAGAATGTTCCTAAAACAGCATCTTACCTATGGGTTTGAGAAAGCTGGATAGCCTTATGATAGGACACAGAGATACGCCAGCTTCTACTCGAAGCATAAACACTGAATTTGCTGCTATTTTGGCACGCTGTGCAGCTGCTTGTGCAACTTTCTGTATCTTGTCTGCAAGTAGGAACGAGCTGTGTAATGGTTAAATCAGATTTTTGCACGGTATGCAGTAATTTTCAGAATGCAATGTGTAAGTGCCAAGTGCTACTAGCTATCAAGTTTAAGAATTTATGCTATTGATGTAAAGATTGCAGGTGCCCTTGGTACAGGAACTTTTTATTACATATTTAATGTCTGGCAACAGAGGAATCAAGTGAGCTGCACCTTGGAGACCTCTGTATCACGCTCCATTACATGGTATTAGTGTGACCTCAAGGGTCTGATAGGTATTTTCATCCATTCCAGCCTCAAAAATAAATACTACACTGTTTTGACATATATGTTAGTAAGAAGCCTATGTGTAAGCTGATTTCAGAAACCAAATATTCTTCACATCTTCAGTCATTCATTTATGTTCACGGCAGGGCCCAGAATTAATTTGGTATTAAGAGTTCAGCACATTGGGCGTGAAAATATTTAATTAATATGCTAATATGGGGTACGGCAGAATAAGAACCATGCATCCACACCAGCAGACAGATGACAAGTTGAGGGGGTCAACATAATTGGTGGTACGCTCCAAAATAAATACTTCTGCTTAAATTTTAGATTTGAGCTGTGTTAAGGATAAAGTAAGTAACACACTGACCTGCTGTTTATTTGCTTGGAAAAAACAGGCTAATATTTTTGCTAATATCAACGAAGTAGTGTACGGAAAAGACTTCCACCCCATGTTAGCATGGAATTGTTAGTCACTGATTGCTACAAGATGTTAGCAGCCAGTAACCAAGACCAAAAGGAAATCTAGTATCAAAAATAAGGGACACTTATCCTCTACCTTCTGTGAAGAAGTCAAATCTCTCACATAGGAGACTGGAATTTTAACTGCAGCATTTCAGGTCCACAGCGGAAATTTCTCAGCTTGTTCTCTTGCTTCCAATCAAAGCGCTCTTTGGATAAAACGTTATCGGAAAAATATCTACCCCAAGTGCTTTGAAGTATCTTCTTTCATGAGAACAGAAGTAGTTAAAATGGGATTCAGATGTCTTTCAGAAAAGGACGCCTGCGCTGTCCCAAAGCTACCAGCACAAGAAACACCGGAGCGCTGACTTCCCGGGCACTGAACAGCGCGTCGTTTTGGTCAGACAGTTTCATCTCACAGCCATTCAGCTATTCAGCTTTCATTGTGAACAGAGATACTGCAGGTCATCGTCCAAGTACTTCGAGAAGTGTTGCAACTCCAACAGTGTTGAGTATTTTCTTAACAGAACCTGAGATTTGGGAAGACTTCTGTGGTAATCTTCCAAAGAAGGCAGCGCGGGTCTCATTTTCAGCCAAAACCACGTTTTGTTCTGAGCAGTTTCCTCCTGACATCTACCCCTTTGCTTCCCGCCTCCTCCGAGCAAGTCCAAGCATCCTAAATACTGTGAAGTCCTTCACTTTCATGCTCACGGACTTCTAGGAACAACCTTTCACAAACTTGCACGGAGTCGCAACGCAGAGCTTGCTGCAGCCAGCGCCAAGCACTGAGAAGCTCCGAGTGACGCGAGAGAGGCAGAACTGACCCAGAACAAGAAGCCTGCCCGTGCAGCGCTCCCCTTGCCGCTGCAACGTGAAGTGTGGTAGCACGGAAAGTGCTACACACCCAGCAGATGTAAGAAGAGGTTTCATCTCCTAAACAGCTTCCAGCAAGCTGGTATAGCTGTTCTTGCACACATGCACATAAACATACGTCCCCTCCCCAACAAACCTTTGAGCCTTCGCTAGCCATCTAAAAATCTAGCTTTTAGCCGTCTAGTTTGACTTTACTGGACACTCCGAGAACAAATTTTTGGATAGACTCTCCCAGTTGTTTCATTAATACTGTATAATGTTCTAGGATTTAAAAATAGGCAGGTCATTTTTGTCCACTTACTTTTGAACTGTCCTTATTTTTGCCTCTAGCAACGGATAATTTGGTTTGCGGGACTGCACTGAAATATTTAGATTGCATATATTGCGAAAAGCGGGTGAGGATAAGGCCAGACAAAACTTTGTACAGATGTACTGCACAGATTCCTTGAGTCCAAACAGTACACCTTTGTCATCAGTTCAAAAGTTTGAGGTGCAAATAGAGCAGGCAAGTCTAAAAATGCACAGACTTGGTGGTCTACAGATATATAGATGCATTTATGGCCACCCAAAGTACAAAAATTACAGCATCTAAGTAACAACAGTTTTTACACTGAATAATTTGACTCTTTGGTTGGTTGGCTGGGGTTTTTTAATATATATAAAACCTTTAAATACTGCTTTTATTAAATTAAAATTACTCAGTAATAAAAATGACAGTTATTATTTTAATACAGTACCAAAAAAAGATGTGACTGATAAGAGATAAGAGAACTTCTAAACCAAATGAGACAATGTGAGGTAACAGTGCATTAAAATACTTGCCTTTTTACATTCAAGTAAAAACACCCAGACAAACCAGTAACATTCAAACTCAAGTCTGTCAAACAGGCTATTCTTCTGCTTATCCCACAAAATTAAATGTCATCTGGGTGATAAGAACAAAGCACAATATCCTCAGCTTCTTCCTAAATGAATTATCAAGTATTGCTGTCTACTGGTTTTCAGGCACCACTGATTTATTTGTTCAGACAAGAATATACTTTACGGATACACATTCAAACTCTTGAAGGTCTCTGGTTTCAAAAAAAAATCAAGAAAGAAATACCAAGAGAAATGCCTTTCCAACTTTCAAGGCTTCTTACTTCCTCACAAGAAAACCATAATCAGAGTATTGCATGCTATTTCACTACCTCCACCCAAAATTGCGTACAGCAGTGGAGGAGGAAGCCAGTTGAAGTCTAGGCAAAAGTTGGGAAATAATTACTTCAGTTTAGGAGTTAACTTCACTGCAATACTTCCTTAAAGCAAACAAATTATTCTTGTTTTAGTTCGTAATAAAGAGGAGCTGTAAATAGACGTTAAAAAAATCAATCAAATATTTTACAGAAAAAGCATCTTCTGAAGTCAAAAGTTTCTTTCTCCTCTCTAGCTTCAGCATGAACCACACAGTTCCTACACTTACACACCAGTATCAAATACATGAAAGCCCTAGGCAAAAAAAATAGGTTTGGGTTAAATCTGCCTATGCTCATTCACGAGATGAACTTCCAACGTATATTTCTACATCTGCACTTAAAAATAAAATGTGGTACATTACCATCCTGCATTCTCCAGCAGATTCCGTGCAATGGGCTGAGGCACTGAGCAGTTGTAATAACCCATGCCTATATAGGACCTCCATATCTTGTTCTTGCTTGCAATATTGTGTAGAGTTTCAAGGATTTCATTTTCACCTAGTTGAAAAGGAATTATGTCAGAAAACTACAGTTACATATAATGCCAACAGTTTTTAGCTGGAATGCCTTGTACCCTGCGTAAAGAAAAAGCAACATTGGTGATAGAAGTATAGACAGAGGCAGAATAAAGCACAAACCAAGAGCATTAAAGATATAATAAGCTGGTAAAATATTCTAGGAAAGTTTATATTCTGCCAAAATTCTTGAAAATACAACAACTGAAAAATAACAGGGTTTCAACCAACGTAAAAACAATAGTGAGAGAAGCAGCTTGTGGGCAAACAGTTTATGGAGCCCTTTTTGTGCTCAAGCCATGTACATTCCAGGTCTCTTGCACATGCATAAAAATGCATCCCAGAAGGCATCTTCTATCAGCTAAACCTCGCAGAATCAGCACTGGAGGAAGCCTTAGCCATCCACTACTATGATTTAGTGTTTCTTACAGAGGCATATTTGCACAAAGTGGGTTCACACCAAGCACTCAGGAGTAATTTCTTGGTAGAATTTTATTTTCTTGCATTTTCCCTAAATGGCTGATAAATTGAACTGTTCTTTTAATGGAATTTCAGTGTGGTTCACCAGTTTATTTAAAAAAAAAAAAGGTCTGAATACAGTATTTCTAGCTTAAGAAATTCCATTTAAGATTAACTTTGGAACGAGTATGCCAATCTAGCTTGTAGAGATTACAACAGAACGTTTTTGAAGCGTTCAGATGGAAAGTATTTGCATGCCCATCCTCCCCTAACTATGGTTCAGTCTTTGGTCTTGCTTCTACATATGTCTCAGTGCCCTGAAGGCTGTACAAAAATCACATTCAGTCAACCTGTTCCTAGTAGTCAGTTAGTAATGCCACCCAACATCTGTCCAAACGAAAGATTTACAAACTATTTCAGTACCTGAGGGTGCAGAAAGATGGTCAGCAGGCTGCCTAAGATTACACAGAGAGACAGGCATGCCCAACCTAACGGACCTGGGTGGAATCAGACACCAGTCCTCCTAGGTGAGGGGAGCAGATCTTTTTTCTGTTTTTCCCCCTAATCTGACCTCGGAAACTGCAGTGCTGGGGCAGTTGTGCTAAGTTCTGTGCATCCTGCACAGCAACTTGAAAGCCAGCCTTTGGAATATAAGGCTACAAATCACCAAAGCAGAACAGCTGGGGCCCTGGATGCCTCAAAACCTTCTCTCCGTAAGTTACTCCAGCAAGAGAGAGCAAGTCAAAACAATTAATGCTCTGAAATTTGGTGGCAAATCATTCTCTAGGTTTTCAATTAATTTCTTCTGCAGCCATAAACAAGGATATTACAACTTTAGCTCTGATTTCAAAACTCACCTCTCTACTTCCTCTTACTCAAAGTGCTACTTGCACTCCATGTGTAAAGATTGATTTTAAAAAAAAATCTTCTGGTTTTCAATTAGTTTCTTCCACAGTCACATTATACCTTCCACAAAGTTATTTTTTACTCATCTTCGGTTCTCACTTCAAAGTTCATTTCTTCTCTGCCTTTTACTCAGTGTTACTATTAGATCTAACGTATAAAGATTAATTTCTTGGTTTCAGTAAACTGCAATTTTTTTCTAGATACTCAACAGTCATGTTGTTACTACACTTGAACTCAGCAACATCCAGGGCAAAGTTTCTAAAGCGCAGTGAGCAGCTCTGCTCCCCAGTACTCCTCCCACACAATTTTATTCCAGACAGATGCACTTGTTTTGTTTATTTTCAGTGAGAGTTTTAACACTGTAGAGATCTTCCTCTACCACTTGCAAACCAGAAGTCTGATGAAAGACAACTTGGGTACAGTTTGAGAGGGAGGGCTGTATTCCTGCAGAATTCAAACATGATTTGTTGAAAATGGTAATGAATTTGCTTGTTCAGCTCCAAATGCAGCTGAAGGCTGAAGCTGGCCATCATTTAACTTGCTCACAAGCCCAATGCCACACATAAAAATGCATTTGAGAGTGTGATTTCTGCAGTAAACACATACCACGAATACTGTACTATGTGCCAGATAGTGTTTCCTTTGTTTGCCTGGCCAGAGTTTTCTTCTAGAGAGTCATTCCTCAGCAAATATAGTGAACAACTACCACATGAAGACACTGAACTTGTGCTAGAGCTCTCTGAAATAAACCAGTTTCCAAAGTGATTCACAGCACAAAGCAAGAAGCCAGGTGAGACTTATAAGCAGCTTAAGTAGCAACTAAGAGTAAAACCACATGGCCCCTAGAAGAGCTGTGCTGGTAGATCCCAACACGGAATGTATTTGTAATTATTATCATGTGCTACCTGTGAAGACAGTTACACTACTCGTTTTCATCAGGGTGGTGAAATGCTGGAGGGCACACTCCATCCGCTCCTGCTGCGCCTCACTGACCCTGCTGCTTTGGCCACTGCGAGGGCAACAGCAGCAGTACAGCCCCAATACACATCTCCCACTCTTTGAAGAGACCTGGGATGAACACTCCTTCCCCCATGCCTTACCGTGCCTCGAAATAGCTCCTCGCAGCCAAGAAGACAGCCCACAAGTAGCCGTGCTCCTGGGTAATGGAAGACAATAGCCCTTCATTTGTCTGTACAGCCTGGCCGACCCACGACCAAACGTAAGTCCATGTAGATACACGATGATTTAATTTTCATGAATTCAGTGTTTGCTTTACACTAACATGGTTGTGAATTCAAGCAAAACCGATATAGACAAGGGTGAGGGAAATTAACACATATGCTGGGGTCCAACGACCAGAGAGCAAGGGAACAAAACCTTTGGTAACAGCATCCCCAGCACCCACAGGAGGGGATGGATGGGGGAGATGCAGCCGGGCTCTTCGCAGCAGGGCGTTTTTTTTTAGCAAAAGCCGAAACGCGAGAGGCTCAGGCTGGAGATAAGGAGCCTTTTCTCCATGAGGATAGCCCAGCAGTGGAGATGGGTCTCCATCCTTGAGGTTTTCATGCCTCAAACAGGTGAAGCTCTGAGCAGCCTGGCCCGAGCCTGCCTGGCTGAGGTTGGAGGGCTCCTCAGGTCCCCACCAGCCTGAACAGGATCCTGTGTCTCTGTCAGTAGCTGTATTTCCCACTCCATCAAGCCTAGCTTTTAACTGTATTCCGATAACATCATCTGTAAAAGGGGTCTGACACTTCATTGGTCACTCTGTAAATAACTAATGCTAGTATAAAGGCAGAAGAATGCTAACTACAAGAGAGATTTTACGTATGCGTAAAAATTCATTTTCAAATTCAAAATGAAATTGCTAAGTTTCCAGTTTGGTCAGCAAGAGCATCACCCAACCCAGAAAATTACACAGACTTTTTCTGCTGTGTAAAGTATATACGTTAGAGCATGTGTAGTGGAAACAGTGTATCCGTGCAATTATTTATTTACTTATTTAAAGCTAAAACATAAGAAGACTAGTACTTCAGCACATTTCAATACATATGGTTGAAAAAGCACAGCTTGCAGGATGTTATGTTGAGTTACTGATATTTTTTTTCAAACATCCCCCAGCAACAGGTGAAATAAAGAAGCAATATCTAAAACGGGGAAATAAAACAGAATTAAAAAAAATTACTATGGTTGAGAAATGGTTGGAAACTGACCATCACACTCAAATGTTTGTTTTCAGTTTTTTAAGACAACATAGTTGAAAAGCCTTTATCTTGAATTCATTTTATTGGGGGTACACTATAAATTCATTAAGAACCTTGTCCAGCAAAAAAGAAAATTGCCAGCTAAGTCACTGCAGTTGATCTTTACTCCTCTCATCAACTCATTAGATAATACAATCAAAGACAGTACCCAGAATAAGGTTCACTGATCTTGCAGTACTGCTATCTTAGAACCGTGGAGAAAATCCACTGAGGCTCCTAGTAGCAGTCCTGTGAGGAACACTTCATGACTGCTACACCCACAGGTGGAAAAGGCAAGATGTATCACAAAAATAGTACGAGGGAGTGAATTATCAGATTACAAAATGATAATGCTGTTATTTCTGCTAGTATTTTTATGGTTAGCACAGCAGGCTTGCCTTGAACTTGTGAGATATCTGCAGAATAATATGGTACCCAAGAAACAGAGAGAGAGATCAAGGCAGAAGGAGCAGTTTGAGTTATACAACTTAACACTTACAACACGAAAGGCAGGAAACTATACGTCTGATATCATTTTGTTCACACTATGTCAGAGCTTAAAAAAAAAATCTAGCTTCTGAGATCAAGGAAGCAAGATATTCAGAACAGTTCATATAAGAAAAAAGATAGCTTCTGAGATCAAGGAAGCAAGATATTCACAGTTCATATAAGAAAAAAGTTTTAAATTTATCTTGCTTTAGCAATTTACTTGATCTCTGTTAAAAAAAACCACAAACACACACACAAAAAAAACCAACAAAAATCAGATTATATTGAAGCAGAACAGTTCCAAAGCACTGTCAGACATGTAATAATGCTGCAGGACACCGCAAGAAAAGTGCCTGTTCCAGGTGCTGAGTCCGACCACCACCTTCCCAAACTGGAAAGCCAACACCACATATTGCCCTGCCTCCTCCTCCTCCTCTCGCTCAGGCCACCTGCACTCACCCAGCCCATCTGGGCAGCAGAGGCAGCCCGAGGATGCTGCAAGGAGCAGAAAGCATGCAGAGGCTGAGAGCCAGCGACTCGCCTGCCCTTCTCCATCCTATCCCCAAGGCTTGCTGCCTTCAGAAGGAGAAGCAGCAGCCCAAAAGTGCCGTGAGGAGCAAAGCATGAGGAGCACAGTGTCACCGGTGGTAGAGCAGAATCCTGCACCACTTGTGGCAACGCTGTGGAGGATGACAATTGCCACTGCGATAGGCGTCGAAAACATAGTGCGGACTCCAGCAGCAGGGAATGTGAAATGACTGAATCAGCTCTAAAAATCTGACTGATGTTAGGAGCTGACTATAAATTCATCCAGAATTAATTTTTAAGCAGCATTCTAAACGCAGAATAGTAGCTAAAGTAGATTTAACTGCATGAAGAGCAGTGAAATC